TGATTTTGAATTTTGTTCCACATTGTTCTCCCTCTCTATCCAGGATCTCCTACATAGATCCCCCTCTGAGTGGTTGACAGTGGTAGCCGGGCACCATCTAGTTCTTCTGGTCTCATGGTCATAGAAGCTGAGGATCGCATGGTCTACTGGTCCCTTGGACTAATTGTTTCCATGTGTCTTTGGTTTTCTTCATTCTTCTTTGCTCTGGGTGAGGAGAGACCAAATGTTGCATCCAGATGGTCACTAGCAAGCTTTTAAGACCCCAGTCTACTCACCAAAGTGAATGTGGAACAATATTTTTGTGCAGTAAGTTATTCCAATTAAGTGTAATGTCCCAAGTGACCATGGTCCTGAGACCACAGGTCCAAAACTCACTCCATCAGGGTGACTGCTGTGGCTAAGAAGTTATCCTAACTTTGCCCTGTTAGTTCTGTTTATGTGGAATATCATCAGCTTAACCTGTATATGGTCATGGGTATATTCCCTTTCTCCTAGATATACCTGATCACTCAGCCTGTTCACCTATGTATCTATGACTCACAATGACCTCTCCTTGGGTTTCTCTATGGAAGCAGATTGCCCAGTCTTCCTTCCGAGGAAGGTGGGTTTGAACCGCCAGCCTTCTGGTTAGTAGTCAAATGCCTTAGGCACTACACCACCAGCACTCTCCCTATTATTACTGATAATGCAGTGTTGTGTGTGTGAAAGTGTTGATCTCTGTTGTCTATATCTCTGGTGCACCTCTCTGTGCCTCCCTTTTCCTTGGTGTTACTGTGTTTGTCACTCGCTTTTGGTACGTTGCCTTTCTCTTCACCCAAATGAATACATGTCTCTTACCTACTAGCTATGTCCCCTCCCACCCTGGTAACCAACACAGAAAGTCTCCTTCCACATAGACACAGGGTCCGCTGACTGTGGCCTGCTTCCCTCGCCCTTCCTTTGTGCTTAAACAGTGTTTGCAGCACTGCTTCAGCCTTAATTCCGTTTCCCTCATCTTAAGTCTCTCATTTTCTCACATCATCCCTGTTGTTCCCGTGTAAACACAGACAGCTCCTGGCTTCTCCATCTGTCCCTGAAGAGCTGATTAAGTGTGTGACAGCCACCAATGAAAAATGAGCAGAACTCTCTTCTGCAACGGTTCCTGGTTCAAGGTCTGGATCACTGCCATTATGTTCTCTTCTCTGTAAATGTGTGAGGTCCCTGGTTACAGATGAGGCCTGCTCCCAGCGTGCCTTTCAGTCGTCTGCAGGTAAATCGGACTAGGAGCAGGGCATGTGTGCCTCATGAAGCCTTACTTTAGTGCAGGAAGCAGGAGAGCGATGAGGTGTCTGCTTCCGTAAAGATTTACAGCCTTGGAAACCCTGTGGGCAGCTCTACTCTGCCCTACAGGGTTGCTATGAGTTGGAATCCACTTCACCACACTGGGTTTGGTTTGGGTTTTAATGCAAAAAAAAAAAAAAAAAAGCAATCTCAAAGCCTTTTCAATGACATAAAAGCCAGTGAAGCAGCAAGTGAAGGTGGGTATGATAATGAATTTGTGGCAAGTAACGGTTGGGTCAACTGTTACAACATGAGGGCCAACGGACATCACGTGAAAGGGCAAGCACAGACCCACTGCTGGGGTCCATTTCAACTCACAGCAACGTGACGGACAGAGCAGAACCGCCCACACAGCTTCCAAAGGGCAGGGACACGGTGGCCATAATCTGGCTGGGTGTAACCTGGGGACTTACTGCACTGTTGGAAAAACTGACATTCAGGCCAGCAACTAGCGCTATGGCGTCCCCTCACCAAAAAAGGAAGGAAAATCATTTATACAATCACATGCAATGATATAGCTTTAATATTTTCTTTACAGGAAAAGCAATGTGTATGGATTGGACCTGGAGTCACAAACACTCCACTCAGGAATGATGAGCCAGGTCCCATATATGTAGTAGCTCTAATGGGCTCTTCCTTTTCTGAAACACAGTGTTGCATCCTGGCAATTTTGTTAAATTAACTTTTTTTTTTTTTTTTTAAAGGGAGAGTAGGAGATCTCGCTTTTAAAAAACTGAAGCAGTTTTCTGCTTTTCTGCAGTTGGGCTTCAAGTTCAAACATGAACTGACCAGTCACTTGGTGTAAGAACCAATCAGGGACAAAGGATACACCCACTCCAGCCTCAGTCTCTTGGTCGGGAGCTCCACCTTGGCTTCCAAACTGTAAGAGTCCACTTGCTCTTTGGGCATGTACATGGTCACGGGGCGGCCACGGAGAAACATTTTCACATAGCCTTCTTCTACAAAAAGGAGAGAGGTGTCAGCCAGGCTGCTCCGTGCCCAGGGGCCCTGAAATAAATGTGTCCTCTCTAGACTTTCGATATAAAAGTGAACACCTGACCCTTTAATTAACGTCCTAGGAAGGAAAATGCGGAAAGAGTAAGCTGAGCAGATTGAAACAAGTGTTAGCATCTCGTCTGCTTTCCCTACTACGCTCATTCAAGCACGTACAGTACTAAGAAACTGCCAAGGCCAGACCCTGGCAGTTATTTCCCAGGAGGCATTCTGGTGCTGACGCTTGCTTATCATCCAAACCAAATCAAACCTGCTGCCGTCAAGTGGATTCCAACTCACAGAGACCCCACAGGACAGAGTGGAGCTGTGTCACAGGGTTTCCACGGTGGCAACTGTCATGGGAGCAGACTGCACATCTTTCTCCCACAGAGCGGCTGGTAGGTTCAAACTGCCGACCTTTCAGTTACCAGATGTGCATTTAACCACTGCACCACAAGGTCTCCTTCTGCTTATCATCAGGAGGGTGAAAATGCCACCTTGGAAAACTACAGCATAAGAAATCCACTCAATTTTTTAATGTGTTCAATGTATACATAACATCAACTTCAAACTTCATAAAACCTTTCAGTATTTCAATGGGTTGTTGTATCACAATGCACATAACAATAAAGTTATGTATCTTAATCTTTTCCATTGGACCATTCTTTCAGGTGTAAAGAACATACAGTCAGCAGAAGGACATGCCAGGACACATGCAAAGAAGAAAAGGCCCAAAGGAAAGCTCAGAGCGAGAGCAGAGGAACCGGAGACTCCTCAGAGAGAGAGACATGGGGATGGGCCTCTCCAGAGCAAACAGCTCCACAACAAAACGTCTTTTGATGTTTCAATAATCAAACACAGGGACGAAAGTACAAACCTATAATACTCTGATAAGGGGAACTCCTGGGATTTGAAAATACCCCAAACTTGAGGCTCTCTGACTCGAGTGTCAGAGTAAGACAAAGCCCAGTGCCTTGTGAGCCCCTGAAGAACCCTGCAGACTCAGAGCTGGAGGGATTCTGAGGTGTCCCTGCCGGTCAGAGGACCCAGCCTCACTGGCCTTTCAACTGGGCAGCTGGGACCAGGGATACCTGTATGGAACCCAGCAGAAAATTCATCTGCACAGAGGAAGGTGATGAATAGTCATGACACAATTACAGAACCGTGAGCACAACAGTCACATATCAGCTTTGTAAGCCTCATCCCAAAGGATTTTCAAACAAGGCCACATGCGTTATTGCTGAACACGTCAGAGGCGGTCTCCGGTTTCCGTTCCTGTGAGCATGCACGCAGGGCCCAAACGCACGTGACACACTCTGCCCTTTGCAGACTGACTTTTCAGAAAGACTACTGCCTGGCACCACCTCCCCTCCATCCTCCCAGTTCCCCTGGGCCTAGGTCTCCTGCAGTCCCACCTTGCAGGCCCTCGTCCCTGACCAAAGTCTTGGGTGTGATACCAGACCCAGCAGGGCCGTGGATGGATCTCACTGAGTCCCTCCCACTGAGAGTCCTTGGGCCCCTTTCTGTCTGCCAGCCTCTCACCTTACACTCCCTGTTTGCCACAGCCCCCCTGGCTGGATTCTCCTTCTCTGGCCCCTTCTGCACCTGCTCTTACCCAGTCTCAGTGCCTCTGCTCCTGCTGTTCTCCTAACCCCAAACATCCTCCCGTCCTCACCCCCTCACCCCTCACCCACATCTCAGCTCATCAAACTGCGTGGTCACTGTCAGGGGAGAACCTAACAGCGCCCCACAGAGTGTCAGACGTAAGGGGCAGGCGTTAGTGAGTGTGAAGTCCTGTGAGGGTGACTCCACCCAATCCCTCTGTGAGCAATTGATCGATCCTGCCAGGAAGCTCGCGGAGAGGAATAAGGGGAACATACTGCCATTCTCACACCACAAAAAGCCCACCACGGATGCAGCGCACAGAGACCATCCACATGTGTTACACTGTAGTCACATGCTGGTTACGGAGTCCCTACAACCAAAGCTGAGTTATGCAGAATTCTGAATTACTCGACGAGGCCAAAACAGGACAAAAGGCTGGCTTGATCCCTGACACTGTTCTGCCCCTGTCCTTCAGCTACTCTGATTGAAAATCAAAACCCAGCAAGGGAAAGTGACTTCCCCAGGCGTGTTAGGGTAACAGCACACAACGGCCAAACCCAAAGGCACGTTCGTGGGGAGAGGCCAGCAGTCGTGCAGGGACAGTGGGACAGCCAGGGTTGCCCGAAAGCTCTGAAAGTTGACGCTGATTATTCAGAGTTCTTGGATCAGCCCATAATCAACCAAGATCGAAATCCCAGCCACTCATGAAAGTCTAGCCCAGGAAGTGCTGGAGAAGGCTTAACACGGAAATCAAAACCCTTTTCATACAAGGACAGCGTCCCTTTGGCTGTATGAAAACCGTTTCTGGAGCCCGGGCAACAGCTGTGCGTGGCCAGCTATGCGGTGTCAGCGAAGGCGCCTACCTTTGCAGTGTGTCACCCGGCGTTTCCCTTGTGATTTCGGAGACAGAGACAGAAGGGCTAGATAAAGAGATGGGGAGTACTGCAGCAGGACTGGCCTGCCTGCAGGGGCGCTCACCAGCTCCCAGTCAGCTCGAGCTGCCCCCAGGCAGGGAAATCTGGACACTTTTCAGGGACTCAGACAAGCTCAGTGAGCTTACAGCGGTTATGATTTCAGGGTGCAATTTCATGCCTCCTGAAATTAAACGATGACTGAAAAAGCCCGTGCTGGTAACACAGAAGTCTGCTGTCTAGATCCTAATCCTGAGGTTAAGAAAAACTGGAAGAGCCAAAACTAAGTGGATGTATTTAACCAATTACGTACCAGTCAATTTGTTTGCCATTTAAATGCATTTTTAAATAAGGTTAAAGTGCTAAAAATAGCATCCACTTTATCATAAAATATGTTAAAAAAAAAGGATCTATAGAAGGGATACAGATTAATTATTAGTTTACAGTTTAGAAAACAAAAGACATAAAGGGAAAAGCTTTTTTTAGACAAAGTTGTAACTTGGAGCATCAGAAACTTTCTCCTTAAGGGACAGGCAAACATTGATGCCCAGCGCCCAGTTAGTGAGGAAGAAAGAGGAGGGCCCCTGCTGTCTTTTAACCTAGAAACCCCACTACAGCACAGGTGCTGGCATTTCACTCTGCCCCTTAGTGACAGATCTTCAGTCGGCTTTGAACAGGGTCAGGAAAGAGCTTTGTTTTGATGAACTTTCTCTATGCGTCTCACTGTTATTACCTGATCCGCTCACCCCCAGGGGTCAAGCAGACATCAGCACTAGGTTCACCTTAGCCTTGCCACCTAAACCCCAAATTTTCTGTATATCAAAGTCCACTCCGAGATAGCCACTCCTGAAGTGTCCCCCCAACTCTGAAGAAGTGAACAGGGGCATAGCCACAGGAAAGTTCAACCAGACCTACCTGGACTGAACACAGGCTCCTTGGGTTTGCTGTGGAAGGAAGCACAAACAGTGTTACAGGAAGCTTGCATGTCATTCATTCACATAAGCCAAGCAGCCACTAGCCACGTAGTCCGTCACCTAGTGACATCGTTATGTGCATTCAAAAGGAAAACAAAACCAATTTAATAGCAAGAAAGAGAGAATATAAATAAAAACACCCAAGGCTAGGTACAGGAGGTCAAGTCCTAACTCCAGCACCAAGGCCGTGCCCCTGATGAGGGCAAACAGGTGTTTGGGGGAAGGAAGACGTTTGTCCATCCAGATGCACCCGTCTAAATGTGCCACAGGCCTCCTCCTCTTCTTCGTGCTCATCTCACAGGTTATCTAAACCAGCAAATTCCTGACAGATTCCCGAAAAACAGGGGATGGGAGAACAGAAGAATGAACACAGCACCCACCACCCAGGCAGGCTGAGGGTGCCCTCACTGTGGCTGTACAAGGGCAGTGAGAGCCCCAAGGGGTTCAAGGACACCACAGCAGATGGCTGAGGTCATCCCTAGGGCAAGCTTCCCACAAGAAAAACGTCCATGAGGGGAGCCCCGCGTGCAGAGGGGACCCCCAGGTGCAGAGATAGTGAGAAGGGTCATTGGTCACACACCTGCTACTTCCTGTTAGGCACACACACACATCCCTGCAGAACCTGGTTTCCTGTGTTAACCACCTGTGGGTAGTAATTGTCAGGTTTGCTCCAGACCAGGAAAGGGATGCCGTGTGAAAGGAGACCCTTTACGTGACCTTTGGCTGGTTCTCTGGAGAAACAGCTTGAGAGATTTCCCCCAAAGCCCTGAGGAGTTTTTTGCCCTAGTTTTCTACCCAGAGGGTTCATTACTTTGGGGTAAGTGGTATACACCATGGTTTGATACTTGTACGCTGTTTCTCAAAATGAGAAGAAACAGGTGCAAACATTCATTAATCATCAGAACGTGGAACATATGAAATATGAATATATGAAAATTGAAAGCTGTCAAAAATAAAATGGAATGCATAAAGATCACCTAGTGCTGGTGGCATAGTGGGTAAGGGACTGGACTGCTAACTGGAAGGTAAGTGGTTCAAAATCACTGGCCGTTCCATGGAAGGAAGACAGAGCAATCTACTTCCGTAAAGATTTACAGCCTCATAAACCCAATGGGGGTTGCTATCAGTTGGAAACAACTCAATGGCAGTGAGTTTGGTTTTTGCAAAGATTGATGTCTTAGGCACTAGTGAGCTGAAATGGACTAGTATTGGCCATTTTGAATTGGACAATAATGTTGCCTACTATGCTGAGAATTACAAATTGAAGAAGAATGGCATTGCATTCATCATCAAAAAGAACATTTCAAGATCTATCCTGAAGCATAATGCTGTCAGTGAAGGGAAAATATCCATATGCCTATAAGGAAGACCAGATATATCAACTATTACTCAAATTCATGCATGAAAACCAAACATGTTACTAGGTATATACCCTAAAGAAGTGAGAGCCATAACAAGAACAGATATATGCATGCCGATGTTCAT